CCGCCCGCCCTCCCCACGCCGTGCCCGCTGCCACCCTGTTAGCGATGCCACGTCTAGATGAGCTGCTGCTTTGCTCGCTTTGCCAGAGCCAGGCAGGAGGCCGGGCCGTGCCCAGCCCCGGGCAGCCCTGCCATGCATGACCCACCGCACCTTGCTGAGATGCTGCTTTCATACAATCAGGTACAGACCCTTTCTACCATTTTTGTTGCTGGACATTCTACTACACTCTGTTTTTTTTTATTCTATTGGTTTGTATAAAAAACCCAACGGAAGCTCCTGTCGGGGGTTTCGTTCCGCACGTCGTGGTGCGTGGTCTGTAGTTTGCTACTTCTCTGTCCGAAGTGCCAGTCCTGCTGATTACCTCCAGCCCAGGGCGAGCGCCTGTTCACTCACTGTGCTGTGGTAAGACGACGTTACAGAAATGCATTTATCTACCCAAAGGCCTAGCTCCACTGGGCACTTAATTTTTAAAAACTTGTTTTGTTGAACGAGATGTGAAGATACTCAAATAAAGGCAGAACGACGGCGTTTGGCGCTCCCCAGCCTTGGGCAGCCGGGATGCACAGGGTCAGCAGCTCCTCTGCCCCCACCGCGACTCAGCCCATGCCGGGGTAGGGACCAGGGGGACCACGTCAATTCCCACTCCAGAGGCAGGATGCAGAGATGCTTGATGCAGCTCAGCCTGCTCCTTCCCTCACACACACACGTCCTGCACTCCCCATCACACACTCACCACCTCCTGCCCTGAGCTGGTGCCCATGTGGGAACCCTGGCAGCTGACAAGCTGAGTCGCCGGGCTGAGCGCGCCCCTGGTGGCTGCTCCCAGGGTAAGAGAGGCCAGCAGGCACAGAAGGACCTTCACTACCACTTTATTATTACAAAGGCTACAAGCCACATTATTTTTAAAGTGCATCATTTTTCACTGTCAAACCACAGACACAAGCCTGGCGTAGTGCAGATACGGCCAAAGTGGCAGACGCGGCGCTGAGAGCAGGGTTGGGCAGAAGTGAGGGGCAGTGGGGCTGAGAGAGGTGCCAGGGTGCAAGTGCTGCTCCAGATAGACCTAAAGCCTCTGAGGCCCAGGAGGGCCTCATGGACAGCGGGACAGACAGAAAGGCCTGGTGCAGGGCTGTGCTGGCAGGAATCTGCTCCCAGGGCAGACCCAGTTACTCTCTGCCTTCATGACAACTGGGCTGGGCCCTGGGAGACCTGCAGGTCCCCAAAGGAGCAGGGCAAGAGCCCCAGCTCTGCTCCCATCTGTGCAGTGTCCCTGGACAAACACAGCCCCCTCCAGCTCCCTTAAGGGGGTGAGGGGCTCCAGGCCCCGCAGTGTGGGGGGTTCTTCACGCCATCCCAGTGCTGGATGCCTGTCAGATCAGCCTCTGGACCCAGCAGCCAGCTGGGCTCCAAGGGGACAACCCAAGCCCTGCTCAGGGAAGAGTCCCCTCATCCAGACTGCCCCAGGCGTGGAGCAACGTCCCGGCAAAGGTGCTGCTGAGGGATGATGCCTATCGGGGACATCTGGTGTCTCTCCACCCCCAAAGCCAGTGCACGGGGCCCAGCTGCCAGCCAAGGATTAGTTTAAAGTGCTTTTCCCTTTTTGCATGGGGTACTAAGGCCAAACTCCACCCTGCCAGGGAACATATCCCCTTTATCCCTAGGGCCAAGGGAGCATCAGAAAGGCCCAGGTGGGAGCCTTCCCAGGGGAGCAGAGGCAGCGGCAGCTCTGCTGTGCCAGCTCACTCCTCAGCACAGAGACGTACAGCACATCCTGCGCCCTGCAATGCTCTGACCCATGGGGACCTGCCCTGCTGTCCCCTGACATCCCCAACACCTCCCCAAGCCCATACTGCTCCAAAAGGGACTGTCCCAACAGAGGAGGGTGGAGGAACCAGCTCTGGTGGTTCAAGAGGTGCCTACCCAGAGCAGGAGTGGCTGAGACCCACCTTCAGCAGCTGGGATGGGCATGAGCCAACCGGCCACCCCTGGCCAGGAGAAATGCCAGAGCCTGGACAGGCATCC